TAGAGGATGGGCTTTTCAGAGAAGGTTCCCTCTGCTCCCTCCAGCCCCATTCCCCCAGGTTAGATAGATGTAGGGAGTTTGGGAAGTCTGCTGTCTTTTGCGAGTTTGTAAGATCTTTGTGAAAGCCTCCGTGGCTGGGTATGTGGTTTATGCCTGTGGGAGGCCGAAGTGAGAGGATCATTTGAGGCCAGGAGTTTGAGATCATCCTGGGTAACATAGTGAGACCCCATCTCTAAACAAGAAATAAAGAGGAAAAAAAAAGTCTTTACCCATTTCCTTTGGTGTATTAGAAAAGTTCCTATGAATTTGCTGGCCAGACTTCACGGGTGCCTCTTCCCTTCTTATTTCAGGATGTCAGAAGAGCCAAATCTATTTCTAATCATCACCAACCCCATAAATCTGTATTGAATGATACACAATTGACACTATCATCCTCATTTCATAGATAAGAAAACTGTTTCTGGGGAGGGGAGTATGGCTCCTTCTCCAAGGTCTTGTAGTGTCTAACAGAAGGAACCCAGGTTTTCTGACTGACTATGGAGCTAAGGCCTTCGGCAATCCATTCTCATGGCTAAGCTAGAGCATTTCCTGCCATCCAGACCCCCCTTTTTCTTGTTTACAAAACTACAACAGGTCTAGCCCCAGCATCCACAAGAGTCCCTGCTGGGCAGCAGCAACATACCGCGTCCACACATTCCTCTCCTGCCTAGGCCGCAGAGCTGCGAGCCCACTTTCTTGCAAAAATGCAGTCAGGCCACACAAGTGACAGTTTGCTTCTTGGTGGCCTGGTTTCTATTGGTGGAGCTAGCTAAGAAACAGTGCTGTCACTGCAGAACTCTCGGTGGTGCACGCGGCAGAAGCCGGCAGCTAACGGGCCATGAGGGATGAGAATTTCATTGCGAGGATGGTGTCAGGAGGAGGCCTCTGCAGCACGGACTGGAGAGAGCCTTGGTTAAAAGAAACAAATCAGTGGCTCTTATTTAAGGCCGTCATTATAAACACGAGGCTTTTCGGCTTCCCTGGAAAGTGCATAACTACAGCCCATGTCTCTACCGCCGGATTTCGGTCCTGGAGGAAGCATGGCACTGGCCTCATCTCTCCCCTGGAGGGAACGGGTCTGGTAAGCATGTGGGGTCTCCTTCCCTTCTCATTGGCCCTGTCTCTTCTTCCATCCCCAGCAGCCCCGCTCCCGCTTCCTTCCCCAGTTTTCACACTCGCAGGCCCACCCATCCCACGCCTTCAGATCCTGTTAGTTAGCCAGACAGCATTACCAGTGTTAAGCTGTTCTCGACCTACAAAGATGGTGGTTGCAAGAGGTTCAGCCTCACATATGCCAGCGGTACTGTCCGCTCAAGCTCACCATGCTCAGCAGAACCCAGAACTGGGTTTCCCGGCTGTCATGCACTCACCAAAGCCCCTGCTCCAGCCAGATTTCTGCAGGCGTTCTCCTCTCAACTTGTCCCAAATAAAGCCCATCCTCCTGTGGCCTGGCCTGCCCGTTCTCATCCTGGGTTCTCAGGAGTCAGAGCAGCCCTGCCTCCAGCCCACCTGGGTGCCCCGTCTCACCACCCACCAAGCCTGAGTCCCGAGACGTGGCTCTGCCTATCGCCACTGCTCCACAGGGCCTTAAGGATTGAGCCGTCCACATGCCACGCAAGGTCACTGTCGCACCTTCAACTACAGCAGCCAACACACACTGGGAGTCTCCGGGTGCCAGGCATGGCCATGTGACAGACACAGCCCCGTGACTGCTCAGTGCACGCCCCGAGCTAACCCTGCCTTCCAGGAAGAGGAAGGAGCTGGGCCTGGTCTGCCTGGCTGTAAGTCCTCCCCTCCCCAAGGGCCTGCACCTTCACCCACGCTCATCTTCACATCTAGAGGGCGCTTTGCACAGCGACCCTCAGCTCACTCCTGCTCACCCTCCTCTAGGAAGCCCTCTGTGCCCTGCTCAGAACAACCCGGGCTCCCCCTCACTGGGGTGTCCACTGCACTCCACCACAGCGATCTGTCCAGTGTCTGCCCTCCCCATCCCCACCGAGACTGTGGCTCTCCAAGCCCAAGACCACTTCTGCACCCCTCTGTGCCCAGCATGGTGTCTGGGGACACAGCTCATGTGAGTTTGAATGTTCGCTGCTGCCCAGTCATCGTCACTTCCACACATTTGATCCACATGATGCTTAAAACCACCCCAACCTGTATTCTCTCCAGGGCTCAGGGAGGGCAGGCATTTGCCTACAGGAACACAGCTAGGTGGGGGCTTGCAGTAGCCCTAAAATGCACCACAGCCCTAGGATGTGCACACAGTAGTCATCCCCAAATGACAGACAAGGAAACCAAGGCTCAGACAGCATGGGCCACAGCAGGACTGAACACAGGCATTTGCCTCGGAGTCCCGCCCTCTCTCCACCCTGCACGGCAGGTGCTGTTTGCTAAAAAAGCATCCTGGCCCCACCATCTGCTACCTGTCTTCTCACACCTACAAGGCACTGGCTTCTCCCAGCCCCTCTCAGAGCCTGTTACCTCCAAGGCCCCACCCCAGGCTCTGGTCGTTGCAGGCTAAGGAGTGGCTGTTCCACCCCAGATCTGAACAGCATGATGGGAGGGAGTTGTGAGGGCATTGGTTGAAACTGACATTTACATCCAAGCTTTCCTGTATGTTTCTAATAATCCATCCCCTACACTGTGAACAAAGATCTCCTTCCAGCATCTTCGACCCATCCTCTCAGGAGTGTTCAGAATAAACAGACTTTTGGTAAGGCAGGTCGTCTTATGAAGGAAGAGAGAGGCGTGTTTGCTTTGGACCTACAGCCAGATGCCCACCCCAAGGAGGAATGGGTGGCACACACCAGGCTGGACGGGCTCAGAGACGATTCAGGGCAGATGTTTATTTTCCATCCACGCACAGAACGCAAAGCACAACCTGACGTATAGGAGGAGAAGGCAATCATTAAAAGAGGTCTTCAATTTGTTAGCTTATCAGGGTGTCAGTTCCAATTGGAAGCAAGACGCCTCTTGCACACTGGCTACATCCCTGAAAGGTGCAACGCAAACCAGATCATCGTAAAGAGAATCACTCCTGAGACGCATGAAGACACTGAGCTATTTCAGGGAAACCTGCACGGACCTCTCTAGGGGAATGATTTGTTTATAAACACAAGTCTCTCCTTAACTCATCTGGTTTGTGAAACTGGGCTTGGAGACAGCTGGAGGTGAATGATCCTGATCTGAGACTTACTAGGTGTCCCTGTTCCTCACTGAACCACAGATAGGGCGGAACTAGCTGTGGATGGGGTCCTGTCTTCCTTCTCAGGGTCTAGGGGGCCCAGAGCTCACATCCAGAAAGCGACAACATGACAGAGGCCCTCAGGATGCAGGAGCAAACATAGATCTTATTAGGTTTCTGTTTTGTTTTAAAGCATTTTATCCCAGTGAGATATTTATTGTAGTCGATTTTTCTTATTTCTATTTTCTAACATCTGTAATCTTACCACTTAGAGATCATTCTTTTTTTTCCTGAGACAGAGTTTCATTCTTGTCACCCAGGCTGGAGTGCAGTCCACACGATCTTGGCCCATTACAGCCGCCACCTCCCGGGTTCAAGCAATTCTCCTGCCTCAGCCACCCAAATAGCTGCGGTTACAGGCGTCCACCACCACGCCCAGCTAATTTATTGTATTTTTAATAAAGATGGGGTTTTCGCCATGTTGGGCAGACGGGTCTTAAGCTCCTGACCTCAGGTGATCCTCCCGCTTCAACCTCCCAAAGTGCAGGGATTACAGGTGTGAGCCCCTGCTCCCAGCCAAGATCATTCTCAGTGACCAACTGCTGAGTCCTGTTGATGTTTACTTCCTAGCCAAATAGCCCATGGTAGACAGAGTAACAACAACATTCCCAGCCCCAGAATTTACGTGTCCCTTATGTGGCAAAGGGAACTTTATAGACATGATTAAATTAAGGACTGGCCAGGCACACTGGTTCACATCTGCAATCCCAGCACTTTCAGAAGCTAAGCAGGAAGATCACTTGTGCCTAGGAATTTGAGACCAGCCTGGGCAATACAGTGAGACCCCATCTCTACAAAAAATGTTTAAAAATTAGCCAGCCATGGTGGCTAGGACCTATAGTCCCAGCTGCTCAGGAGGCTGAGTGCAGAGGAGCACTTGAGCCCAGGAGGCGGAGGCTGCAGTGAGCTATGATTGTACCATTGCACTCTAACTTGGGCAACAGAGTTAAGAATCTGTCACAAAAAAATACAATTTAATTTTTTTTAATGTGACCGCATCACAGGATTCCCTGCTGAGCACCCTCCAGCAGGCACCCTTCACTCTCAGGGTGCAGCCTCCCCGGCCTCTACCCTGTCCCCTCAAGTGTGGTGAGGGCCTCCCAACCCAGACCCGTCCCCTGGGCACCACACATACAGTGCTGCTGTGTGCTGCTTCAGAACCGGGATCAGTGTCCCCTCTTAGTGGCATCTTCTGGTTTTTCTGTTCCTGGCTCTTTTGCACAATACCACACCAAACAGCCTTACAACTAGACCCTGGGTCCTGAGGCCTTTCTTAGGATCAATTCCACAGCAAGCCCTGGTCCTGTGCTTCTACACCTCTTGTGTGACTTCACATGCAGCGTTCTCCAGAGTCATGACTGACAACTGTACCTTTGCTGGAAGATCAGTGAAAATGTGGGGAAGAAAGCCACGCCTACAACATGCTTTCATAGCCTTAATATGCAGACCCGAATGGTGGTAAAGCTAGCTCAGACTCACAGCCAAGCTTGCTTGGACCCAAAAGCTTAGAGTGGTTTTAAAAGATGGAAACTTTACGTGACGATGCCGGTTTCCCATTTCTCCAGGTGGCACTTACGAGTCAGAGGCGGCTCCAGTGAGCTGGTCACAGACCCCAACCATGTCACTCCTGCTGCCTGCACACCTGGCTCACCTCCTGGCCTATGGTCATTTGCATTTGAACCCCAGACTTAACCTGATTCTTTCCCTGCTCTTTCAGTGACATCACCCCTCCCGGAGAGCCTGTGAACAGGAACAGCCGGCCCAAAGCGGCTTCCCGCTTCCCCAAACTGTCCCGAGGTCAACCCCGGGAGACACGCAACGTGGAGCCCCAGAGCGGCGACCTCTGACGTCAACGGAACCCCAGCCACGGGCCTTACACGTCATGCCAGCTGCCTCCACCTGGGCCACTGCTGCTGGCCCCTCACACCTCGGCGTGACAACCACGTCCACCTGGTGACCCTGAGAGCACACGATCCCCACTGGTCACATGACACCCTAATTAAACTGGTCATTCTCGGAGTCGCACTGTCCCAGGCCCCAGAGCAAGGCGGCGCCTCGCTGGACAGACTCGGACACGTGGTCCTCCTTTTGCCAGGGTCTGCCCTGGGCTGCAGTGGCTGTTTGGTGGCCTCCCTGCAGTTCACGGCTGGCAGGAGCATGGGCGCCAGGTCAGGCAGGGTGCCCTCTGGTTGAGATGCACAGCTGATCCCTTACACGGAAAGGTTCCTGTGGAGCCAGCCTCTCCACTCTTTCCCACACGTGGACTAGCATGACTGTTAGCCTCGCTTTTTGCTTTTTAAGGTTATTGCCAGGTACAACTGATGGATGGCTGGGATGGGGGGTTCTGGTTCCTTTCATTGCAACCTCCACCGACAGCCATTGGACACCCAGCAGGGTCACAGCGCTCTTTTCCAGAGACATGTCCCCAGGGCCTTGGCAAGGAGCCATTAGTGAGGTTTAACTTGAGTTCGGAGAACTTCTCCTACCTCCCCATGGCTGGCTTCAGAAAGGACCATGCCCTGGGAGCCTGAGGCCACCATGGCCCTCGCCAGGCTTGGAGGGGACTCGGATGTCCGGCCCAGCTGTCAGCAGCAACCCGGTGTCCACAGCCTATCCAAAAGGCAGTGGCCTCGGCCCCACAGTCGTGAGAAACTTGGCTTAGGGAACCACCGCAGAAGGTTCCATGATTTTCAGACCAGGGTCCATGTCTGTGAACTTGGACCCAGCATGGACACTGAACAAATCATGTTTATCTCCACTCAAGATACATTTCCACCCCCATCTGTCCCCTGTACACTGTCCATGGGAACAGAACTCTGCATCCCTAAGATGGGGTCCTCTGTTCCTCCCATCTCAATGTGGCTCTCAGAATGCAGCAGCCTTGGCAGGGAGAGGAGGATGGAGACCAGCAGCTTGGTGGCCCCCTGGGGCTCTTTCAGTTAGCCCATGTCAGAGCACCTCGAAGGACCAGAGTCGTCCTCAGATGCTCCACACAGTTGAGTTTGCATTCTGGGGTAAATATTAAGTAACTAGGAAGGAGGTCCTGAAACGGACTATGCAAGAATCAGTTTGTGTGTTCTGCCTTCACCTGAGGCAGAGACACAGGTGGATGGTGATAGTTTAATGGCAAGCCGTGGGCTGGTCCTGGAACTGCTTCAACTCAGTGGCTTAAAATGGGAACAACCCAGGTGCGCATGGAGCATCCCCTGGCTCAAGGAAATCTCTAGGGAATCATCTGGAAGGTTTATGCTATGTGTTCCCTTCATAGCAAGAAGGACAGCTGTTCATGGCCTTGAAGGAAAGCTGAGATCACTCATACACAGCCCTCCAGAGAAACCGAGGAGGCCTGCGTAACTTCTGAGGGGACCCTGGCCCAGATAAGCCACACCCAGGTGAGACCGAATGAGCCTGAGTGAGTATGGAGGTGGCGGCTCCTACAGTCGGCTCCTGCGAGTTTGAAGGACCTGAGATGCCCTGGTCTCCCGCCCCCTCGTCTGCCAACGTCACTGCAATACACATGCTTTATCTGAAATTCCAGGGCCCGGAGTGCACATCAGCCCACGTGGCTGGCAACTTTCAATAGAGAACCATCACGCATTGAGGCAGGGACCGTCTGAAAGCTCTAGCTTTCATCCTGGCCCCTCAGGTTGGGTTTATGCCACATACGTCATTTTGAAGTAGGTCTTTGATGCCCACTCAGAGATGGTCCCAGGAGTGCCTCCCTAACCAGGAAACCTGCAGTACAGATCATCTCCCTCTTCTCTTTGCTAGATACTGAAAGGAACCTCTCCTCTCCTACATCCCCCTGCACCCAGGCTTCTGACCCGCAGCCTTTTCTGCCAGCTGCATCCAAAACACAGGATGCGAATCAGTCCTCACCCTCTCCAGATGCCCCACCAGGAAGCACTTTGGACATTCTGCACACGTTGTTAAGAAACAAAGCAAAAAAAAGTCCCCAGGAGCGATGATAGACGCACAGATGCGAACCCGTGAGAAACAAATATGCACTCAGCTGGTATTTAACGGGTGGGAGAAGGTCTGCTTCCCTTTTTTATAAGGCTGAATTATTCACAGAAAACATGCCCACCCGTGTTCCTGGGACCCACGTAGGGACCATCCTGGCTTCCTGCTCCTGGTACACCTCCCATGATCACACATAGACCCTAGAGTCTTAAAAGATGCAGACCATCTCATTTTTGCTCAGAAGTGCATGTGACCGGCACATGACAGCAGCTCCCCAAAGCCTCCCCTTCGAAATCTCATAGAATATTCTGCAATGAATGAGTCCATCCCGCTGCTCAGATGACCCCTGCCTTGCTCTCTGGTGCAGTGGGATGAATTTCAGTCAACAGAGATGACTGGCAGACTTCCCGGTTCCTGGAGAAATGGGGCAGAAATGCCCAGGCCTAGCAAGATTGCGGCTGGAATCTGGTCCCTGAACTCCATCCCCGGAGATGTGTCATTTGCCCCTCAGCCTGGATTCCATTCCGAGGGCTGGCTCGGCCTGTGACCCCTCAGTTGCAAGAACACCCCTGCAAAAGGGATCCCTCACACCTCATGTCTGTCTCCTTCATCCAAGAAGATTACTCAGCGTTCTCCACAGTCAGCATCTGAGAAAGGAAGTGCTCCCCATTCAGAAAACTAGGAAGGTCTCTTCCCCTCTCTCTCCCTCTCTCTCTCTCTCTCTCCCCTCTCTCCCCCCCCCCCACCTTCTTTTTAGTGCTGCCAAATTTATACTTCTTTTGTTTTGTTCTCTCTCTCTCTCCCTCTCTCTCTCTCTCTCCCCCCCCCCCTTTTCTGGGACCATCTCTGCTGGGAAGAAGAGATGCCAAATCCTTTTTCTTTGTGGCCTGTGGTAGCTCAAACAGAACATCCCCCGGTTCCGTATTTGGCATCATCCCATTTTTTGTTTCTTTGCCCCCAGATGAAAGACTCGGGAAAGGCCAGGCTGAGCAGAGGTGTCTCTCCTTCGAAGAGAGAAGGAAAGCTTCCAGGAAGGGAGGTCCAAGGCTGCTGGAAACCTAGCCCAGCCCTGCCCTCCTGACCTGGGACAGACCCTCAGCTGTTCTTCTGGACTGAGTCTGCAATTCAGCTTCTCTGTTTGTACTGAGGGGCCAGCAACACACTTTGCTGGTAAGCCATTGCAGAATGTGGAGCTGGGGTTCAAGGTCCCCAGCATTTCTCTACCGGCAGCCTCTGGTGGAGGAAGACACTTTGATGGAAGAGGCTCTTACAGCCTGTGGTGGTGGCCATCCTCACATCCAGTCACCAGCTGCATCCAGGGACTGCCTGCTCCAGAAGATCATCATCCAGTGGAGTTGTAAACGAGGGTGCCATCTTAGAAGATCTAGGAAGAGGCAGGCGAGGGATCTGCACCCGTCTGCTCATAGCCCTTGGCCCTGCTTCATACCTTGGAGCTTATTAAGATGGTTTCTTTGATAGCCATTTAATTTTTTTCACAACCGTGGCAGGTGATGTGTTGTGCTTTAAAACCAGAGGCGCCCGAAAGCCACTTAAACCAGGCGGATGGATAGCAGGGCTGTAGCCAATGCCACAAACTAACACTAGGGCCAGTGATCATGACCCACAGTAGGAAATGGGAGTGAAGCCCCCCAGCCTGCCTTGTGGATGAAGAGCAGCTTATTTCCTGACACCCTGATCCAGGGCTTAGTGGCCCAGGCGAGCTGTAGATGCCTCTCTTGGTTGTGCATGTGACCATTTGCCCACCTCAAGGACCAGGTCATGGGGTTCTGGGCCTCAGCCTTCCCTGCCGCACCTACTCAAACCCCCATGGGGCTGTGCCTCCATCCAGCCCCTCACAGGGAGGCCCAGCTGTGTTCTCTGGGCTCCCAGTGAGCCCCCTCCTCTCCACTCATCCCCAGAATCCATCCTTCATTCCTCAGCCGAGCTACTATATGAGATGCAGTGCCCACACGGGTGAGGCCCTGCACTCCAGAAGCATCTTCCAGCCTTGGCACAGAACTGATGGAAGGGCTGAAAGAAGGGCTGGGTTTTCAGCTCCTGGGACCTGTCCGAGAAAGACCTCACCTCACTCCTCCTTCCCCAGTACATCAGACTAGCTAGGAGGCATCAGGGAAGGGGCAGCCTCATGTACAGGTTTCAACCCCAAAGGCGATGATTATCTTGACTCTGCCTTGGTGTTTCGCTCAGGATCACAGCAGACTTCGGCTGTTTCTGGAAGGCAGGTGCCTGCTTATGAGCAAGGTCAATGGTAACAAACATTTTTCAAAATATTGTGCATTAATTCATTAAAGCTAATGTTAAATATTTGCTGTTTTCAGATGGGCTTCTGTGCTAATTTTGCACAGTTGTAGCACTGTATATTTTATCTCACATTTCTGTGCCAAAAAAATTCATGTTTTTAATACACAATCTTGATTATGTTTCTAAAATGAAGCTTCAGCTCTTGGGTCAGTAGGAATGAGGGTGCGGCTTCCAGGGTCTCCCGACTCTGGACAGACCGACCCTGCCACATCCCGATCAGTCATCTCTGCCATTCCTCATGTTAGCCATTGCCGTCATCTGGGCCTGATTTGGGTACACTGAATTCTGTCCTGGAGCACACCATTCCGTTTCTAAATCCCCACAACCAAGTGGAGTATCCTTCCTTATAGCTAATTTCGAGAGAGAACTGAAAAAGAAATCTGGTTTCCTGAAAAGATGATGGAGCCTATGATATGAACAAGCAGCCCTCTGGCAGAAGATTCGAGATTCACTCATGGTTTGAGGCCCAGGGATTTAGCTCTTACTGGTGCATAAATGCTTTCCTGTTCTAACTGGGACACCGCTCACCCAGGCCAGCGCTTTCCTGAGAGTGTGCTCAGCTCTGCCGCCAGTCTCCGTGAACAGCAGAGGAAACGCCGCTCATTCACCATCAGTGTAGGACAGAAGGACACACAATGGGGGATCGAACATTTGCACCCAGAGCAACTGAACGCTTCCTAAGTGACCCCAGAGACTGCAGATTCCCGGGAGTGAAAGGGATGGGGGTGGAGCTCATTCGAATTTTTATTAGCCAGGATTCCTCCTAAGAAGAATGTCGGCCTCTCTTCATCCCTGTCCTAGCTGCTGGGTAGAACGCCTACTCATCTGACACCGACTTCTTAAGCGAGTCTTTTGAATGGAGGAGCAATGGTAACCCCACTGTGGGGGGCACCTGGCCTGGCCAGTTACCCATGATCGGGCCCCAGTGAGCCGAATTTCGGGTAAGGGAGCCGTGAATCTAGAGTCCGTTATAGTCTGTGTGTACATAAGGTCTAGATGTCTCCGGAGATGCCCTGAACCCTGTAGTGTTCTCTTAACCACCCTCTTATGTTCAGGTTTACATAATAGGATTTTTAAACAAATGTGCTTAATTTTTTAAGATCTCTTGTATTAAAATTTTCTTTTGGAATAAGCTGTGGAAATTTTGTTACAACCTGGTTGAGATAAACCTCTTTACAATGACAAAATAAAAATGGTGACATTTTATAAATTGTCATTGTATCGTCTCTGTCTCAATTCTTTTTCAACAACTGGAGATTGAGGTCAACTTTTAATTCACATGTTATCATCTTTGAATTGAAGTGGAGGAAAATCCCATTTTGAGTTAATTGTATTAGGCAGATCTAGATAAACTGGCAATGTAGCATTAAAGTTTCATACAGAAAAAGAACACCCCTCTTTACAGGTTCCTATGTATTCACTCCTTTAAGAAACAGACCATTATTAGGCACCTGCTGTATTACCAGGT